TCTAACAGTAGTTTTGGCTCTGCATTAATTATCCTATCAGGACTTGTTCTTTTATATATGAGTATATAGATGACTAAACTACATAATAAGTAGATAGTTTTCATTTGATTTGTTATCCTTTTTTAATCTCTTAAAAAAATAACTTAGTTATATTACTTTTCCTTTAATCTTTTACATAAATAAGCAAAAAATTGCGCTTTCGCGATCTTAAAATGTATGTTCAGCATTGATAAAAGTTACCAAAATGATTAATTTACTGTGTTTTGTTATTTCTAACTCCTGTTTTTAGGTATTCGGCCGAATAGTGATTAAATATTCGGTATTCGGCCGAATAGCAAAAAATAGGCCGAATACCGAATAGTGGCCGAATATTCGTTACATCATTATTAATTAATAAACTTTCCTTACATATTTGCTCATGCAGTCTCTTAGGATACTATCTGTTAAATTGTACAAATGCCACATGGTCTTATAAATATCATTTGTCCTGCTACCACTGACTGAACCCTCTTGGGTTTTTTTTTCTCTTTATTGTAGCAATTTCTCTGTACCTTACACTTTTGTTCTGCTTCATTTCCTATTTCATTCATTCATTCATTAGTGTTTATATTCAAAGAATCGATTCTTTGAACGTGGAATTGCGTTATTCTGTTTCTGTGCTTCGAAGAAGAACGTCGACATGGATGATAATCGAGAAACAAATGAGGAAAAAATCTATTTAATAGTAGAAATTCCGGCATTGGAATTGGAGAAATTAACTCCTTCGGAACGAGAATTTTTTCCGTCATTATGGATCGAAGATGACGCCAATATAATGATACAAAAGAATTAGTGTTTTATTAATGTAAATAACTTACATTGCCTGATATCGCAATGCGTGATTAGGCTTTCGATACATATAAAGTACATGCAGTAGTAGGTACGAGGGCAGGCTGAAAAGTAATGCACACATGCTTGTAGAATACGAACAAAAACAAATAGCAAGGTCAGGCAAAAAGTACATTAAAGTACAATTTTTAAGTTTCAAAATCATATATTTATTTTTTAACATAGTCACCGTTAATGCTAACACATTACTTCCAACGTGTAACAAGTTTGTTCATTCCATCACTGAAAAATTTTTTTGACTTTTCTTGACTCCAGAACTTGACAGCTGCCTTCACCTAATCGTCTGAGGTGTAATGATTACCCTTGAGATCTCTCTTAAGTAGAAGAAACAAATAAAAATCACAAGGCGCAAGATCAGGGAATAAGGAGGGTGTGGAATCGGTTCAAACTTCAGGTCTCGCAGAGCCTCTCCAGTTGCGCGCGAGGTGTGTGGATGAGCGTTGTCATGTATCAATATTATTGGTGCCAGGCTGACTCTAACAAGACAAACTCAATGTCAGAAGTGTTTTAGAGTCTGTATGTACTGAGAAGAATTAAACATTGCAACAAGGTGCAACTTAAATATGATACTTTTAAGTAATATATATTTTCTGGTGTAAATAAAATTATTTTATAACTATGTAGCAATAAATTGTGATACTCCATCATATGAGATTAAGTTTTATAAATAATTTTTCATCATACGAAATAAAAAAGACCATTACAGTAGACCCCCCCATTACAATGTAGACATAAGCATTTCCCTAGTAGGTCCTTATCATTTCTGATCCACCTGAGGATTGTTGGACTCCCCCTACAAGCAATCCAGATGTTAGCTATTAATTCATGTGCTTTTGTGTCTTTATTATACAGTTTATTATATAAATGTCTACTAGAACTTATTGTACTGATTTTGTATTAGTAGGACTTATTGTAATGGTGTCTGGGTTATGGAAATTGAGGAAACTTATTCAGAAAAAAAAGACAATCTTTATTGTTCGTGTGTTTCACCTGTACACATTGTGTTTGTGTTTCGGATTTCTTGGTCCTTCATAGGCAGGTTTATATCTACTAGGTGAGTTTTTTGATGGATAATTACATTGATATTTAATTAAGATCAAATAAAAGTTTGTATCATATTTTCAAACAATAGACATATTCTTCTCTTTCCTTTGCTTATACAATCAAAATGTTTTAGTAGATATTTATATAATAATCCAGATGTTAGCTACTTTAGCAACTTTCTTTTGAATGTTAGATGTTGCTTTATTCTATGTAACAAATACGAGACTCCCTTCCCATTGATAAGCCTGCTCCTTGTGAAGTGTACATTGGTGTATCAATTTCTTAATTAGCATTGCCAGGTAACCATGTTTTACCAATATGAGAACCTTGGCTTCTCTTCCATGCCACGACTTGGAACAGAGAATGAAAAGTGGCAATTTTGTAGGAGAAAATATTGTGGGACCAGTTTGGTATGCAGAGAGGACAATATGCCTTTCTTTTTGATAAAACTTAGTAGATTGTTTTCATTCTTATACATTAATCAGTATGTCAGGGAAATGTGCCTGTTGTTTAGACTTGTTCCTTCCATAATGATGACTATGCTGCTTTTTTTTCTGAGATGTCTGAAGAGGTTTCTTCAATATATACTGATAAACTTTGATGGTCTGAGAAATAAGTTTCATAAACCTGTCTTTTTTGTAAAACTTGAAAATATAATATCTAGTTGTTGTCAACATTTCATCACTTAATTGTGAAAATAAATTATATTCTTTTAACAAGTCTTTGAAATGCTTATTATTATTGCTTTGAATGTCAGTATTAAACACATCAATCGGTAAAATTGCATATTTATGAATAGCTCCAATTTTTATCGTTATACGAGTATATTTGTAATGTTTCTTGTTCTAGTCTTTCAATTGTTGTCATTAAACTTTGAGTCTTCTTGTCTTGCCTTCTCAAAGCTTCTGTCCACTGGTCAAGGTATATATATATATTATACCTTGACTAGTGGACAGAAGCCTAAAATATATGTATATCAATATTTTATATATCATATATTATCAATATTTTATCATTGCATTGATAGCATTTACTTGCTATTAGTAACCTGTATAAGAGAAATCCTACTTGAGATTTGTTATGTTGTTCAGGAATGTATTTAATAAAAGTGATACTGTGTTTATTTGTTTTCAATGTGCAACACAGATGTGAGACTACAGGGGGATCGTTACCGAAAAGTTAGCGACGCGTTATCCTGTTGAATTGCTAGATCTGCTCACTGCGTCTAAGGATGGCCTTTTTGAGTGGACACTGACACCAGTTAAATTATTATTTTGCTGTTTAACTACAATTTACTTACTATTGCTATTTCTAAAAGGGCTAAATTATTTTGGTGGGGAATGCATAGGTAAGTGATAGGATGTCTGGCCATGAACAAACCAAAGACAGCCAGTTAACAAAGGAATAACAACATTTAATAATACAAAATAAAATAAAAGCAGTTTACAAACGGACTATTCTAAACTTAAATCTATCTTAACTATCCTATCCCTAGTATGAGAGAGATGATAGAGAATGTTTAAAAATCTAATATATTACTTCATTTATAATGGGATTGATAACAGTTCTGCATTTTTGGTGGAAGTTTCTTTCAAAAGTAAGGCACTAAGTTTACATTATGGAGAATGCAATGATGTGTGTGGATTTTAGCACATATCTCTCTTTTATACTCTTTTTCTCCTCCAATGGATGTTAAGAGTTAAGATCATCTGATAGAGTATTATGATGAATTTTTTTGGTTTAGTTAGTCCTTTAGTCATGGGAGATAAAGATCTCTCTCAGGAACTGAGTGTCATCACAGGAAACATTTGTTCCTTGTTCTCTTTGATTTTTAGCTTCAATAAAAATATCAAAATATTATATTTAATTTTTAAAATATCTTCTATTAATTTTTAGAATATTTTAGCTTAAAATATTCAGAATCTCACACAGAATTCCATAAACAAAGTCATTATTTGAATTTTTAAATCAAGTTTTTAACTTACACGATTGGGAAAACAATATTTCTTCTGATTTTATAGTCTCGTTTTAGTAGTTTTACTTAAAATTAGATTATCTGCATTTTACATAATCATCTTTTGCCAAATATTAAACTTATATATTTCAGTATGTTTTAAATTTTTCAATGTTTTTTTCATATTAATGATTTAAACTTAATTTTCTTATATTTAATTAAGCATTCTGTTATTGGTTTTGTTGTGGATTTTAAAGAATTAAAAGTCAAAAAAACCAAAAAATTGGCTTTTTTTCAGTAACATATCATACAAGGAGCAGTATAATTTACAATAATTCAATTACTGATAAAATTTTTCAATTATATAATTCATTATCTTGAGGAACTCTGCATGAAAGGCCATTTTGTGCTGTACATTTTGATCAAAACAAACTCAAAAACCTTTTTTTTGACACACAAAAATTTCTTGCTTTGAAAAATTATAAAAATTATTAAAAATAAAATGCCATCTAATAGTAAATATGTGAAACAGTGTACAGAATAATGTAAAGTAGTGTAGTGCCATCTATGAATGGAATGTTTCATAAAAATCGTACATTTTTAGATTGACCATAAATCATCAAGTGATTGTTGCTATAATTATTTGCTTAGCATTATATTGTCAGATGATTGCATAAGGGTTAATGATTCTTCTTCAGTCCTCATTATGTTTTCCTACTTGAATATGCCAAAAAATTCAGCAAAAAAGTTTGAAGGAATAAATCATATAAAATGGGTTTGGTTGATTTTAAAATGAAGGAATTTAACACCTGTATATGATGTAATTATTTATTAGAGAGAAGGCTATATATATATGTGTGTGACCATAGGGTCGGTGTCTCTTTGACACCACCGAGTCTCACAGGACTCTGAAATCGCGACTTTACATCACGCGAGCGGTAGCGGGTGAGGAAGTGACTAACTCGGATTTCATATTAAATAACAATAACAATTTTAATAACAACCAAAGAAAATACAGATATATTTGATTTCTGGCATAGCCTATAATTATACTAGGTCGTTGAGAGAGAGAGTTTACAAACGAATTGAAGGTTGATAAATACCTTTCTTGTAGGTTGAAGATCTGTAGTATGATGACACCGTCGATGGAATGTTCGATCAAATCTTTCTGGGTCTTGTCCGTTAACAGGAGCACGGAGATGTGAAGGCATGGAAGTGGGGATGATGTCCTTAAAGAGGCACGGTATTAATCCTGGAGGACTACTTTGGTGGACGGACGTTGGAAGACAACTGATTTCAGGTGTTTTTTCCGTTTTCTCTTGTTATTCCTCTTGGGTTTTTTCCATGAGGTCAGGTGGTTGTTGTTAATGGTCTGGCGTCCAATATGAGCACTCTATCGAAAGTTCCGGGTGACACATCGCTGACTAGCTGGATCCTCCTCAACAAGGAAACAACTCCGTGGGAAATAAATTTTATGGCTTTTAGCCTAACTTGATAAAACGCTCAAAGTTAAGAATTTTTTTAATAATGAAAGTTTAAAATAACACTTTATGGGGAGTCTGTCCCTCACATATATTTAATAATATATTAATTTGTTTAGAGACAGATTAACAACTTGCCTATGATAGAGATTAAAGTATAAATAACTGGAATTTTCATTTTACTTTCATCATTGAAAAAAAACACTATATACATCATGAAAACATTTATCATGGTTGATTAGATTTTTCTATTAATTAAATATTGAAAAATTACTCTTCAAAGCTTTTCCTTAACATATGATTAGTAGCAGTGGTTATTTTTGTGTTACTTGAGTCATTATCAGTTCAGTTTATGTTTAATTCATTTACCTTTCTTATTTTGCTGACAATTAAGTTATCTCTAGGAATGGATCATTTTCATTTTTCTGCTAATTCAGCTTTCTTTGGAAATGAAAATCCTTGTACTTTCGGTCCAGTCAGATAGTTGCCTTTACGCAGGGGCGCCACTAGCTGTTTGAACGCCCGCGTGCAATACCGATTATGTTGCCCCCTGTTTAACTACGATTACTTATGCTGAGCTTGCCAGAAAGGCTCTTTGCCGCCCCCTGGACGTGCCGCCCGCGTGCGGTGCACGTCTTGCACGCCCGCTTACGGCGGCCCTGCCTTTACAATCGGTTATACAGCACTTGTATGGGCATTTTGCATGACCTTATCACATTTACAAATCCCTAATATTTATAAAATGCTTTTGTAACACAGTCAACAAACAAAAAAACCCAAATATTCTAAGAAAATTATCCAATATTTCAATTTAATTACAATAATTGAAAGCATGAGAACTTAACAGCATATGGCTACTATTGTAATAGACAACAATTACCCCATGAGCACTCAGGCCTGATTATGTAGGTGGCATTAATTAGTTTTACCTTTAACATGGAGAAGACCTCATGCGTCCACTTTTGTTAAAGACATGGTATGCACCTTGATCCTGAAACTCACTGAAATGGGATTAAAATTCCAATAGTCAATGAGGCCATGGCTATCAAGGCCTGTTCTTAGCTTCTTGATCCCATTGGAGTGTGTCAAGGCAGTTTCATGATAATGTTGATTAGGGGCTGTTACAGACCATGGAATATCATTTATTACGTATGAGTTAGAGTGGAAAAAAATAAAAAATAATTTATTGTCACACTTATCTTTCAAAAGTCTATGTCATATCTATAAGACTGTGATTTTATTTAACTATTCTTGAGAAAATTTATTATTTTTTGCTATTAAAAATATAAAATAGTAAAAATATGCTTTACTCAAAAACTCATTTGCACATGTATGAAGCCAACTGCATTTAAAGGAAAAAAGCTTCATTGTTTTTTTAAAGGAATAATTACATAATAGATTAAGATATTTTTAATATCTTTCTTGTTACAGGTGTATGGTTTGTTTACACTTTTATTTATCTTGTCACTATTTTTTTGGCAGTGGTTAAGAAGTAATATTTTACATAATCTTGAAATTAATAGATTGGTGATTTCTTTTGGGTGAGTCTCCCTGCCACATCCACATTGAAGCCAAGGGATGAGACACACACAATGCTTTAGTTGCATTCTCAATTTAAACAAAATTTTTTGTTGCATTGGTAATTTGTCTATGTGATTTTTCACAGCTAGGACCATTCCAGTAAGTCTGAGTTGAGGATAATGGAAGCTTCTTGTCCTGAAATCTAATCATGTCGTTTGTTGATGATGATGTCTGGCTCTCTATAAAATTTTCTGTAGCCTGTCTGCATTTGTGTGTCTAGCACAACATGACACAGATAGCCTGCTACTATACCAGTGGCCCAGAAAAGTGAGATATAGGGAAATAACATTGAAAATCAACCAATATAAAATTACAACTGCCTGACTATTTAAAAGGCTACTGATGTTCAGCTTGCATTAATTATGAAAATTGAAACTTATTGGTTCAAGAATTATTAAGTTTCAATAGGTAAATGTTAAAAACAAAAAAAAATCTACTAATCCATGGATATAAAAAAGAATTTATTTTAAAATATACTACTGGTTTGTATTTCAAAAATCTAGTTATCTATGAATAATAAAAAATTATTTGTAAATTATTATAATCAATTTCAATATTGTTTGGTAAATAATTGAGGGTAATTTAATATAGTGAATACTGCTAATTATTAATTATTTTTATTATGGGAAAAAATTAATTAAGATGATTTTTTTTATTTTGGGAGCTGAATTTTGAGCTCCCCTTGATTTATGAGGCTCCATGTGCATGCTTTGTGTGCCTGTGCAGAAATCCACCATCGTCTCCATGTATTATTTTCTTCACAACATCTCAATTTACCTGTCTCTGTCATCGTCTCTGGATATGTTTTTTATCCATGCCTTTTGTATACTATCCTGCAAAGAAAATTCATGGAATGACACACCAGGTGTCTTTCCTTTTGTCAATTTGCAACATGGTATGAAGCAATAAACCATACCAGTTTATGTAACTTATGCTCTTAATTAAACACACTATTGTCTTATTCACCTTTGCACTCATACAAATAAAATTATGTGAAACAACTTCACCAGAAACGTGTACAAGTAGTACAACACCATTGAAATATGAAGATGAGCATGGTCTGTTTCAGTGCTCTTAGTGACAAAACTGTGCAAATTGGTTGACACACTTTTTGAGGCTAAGAACAGGCCTTGATATATATGAGAAGGCCATGGTGAGGCTAAGTTTTTGGTGTTCTGTTCAACCAAAAATTGACATTCTTGCCACACTTGCACAATTTGAAGAGTAGATGTCTAAAGTCTCTGAACCTTTTAAAGGTACTATGATGCTTATACTGGGGAGCAGACAAATGTTCTATGCTCAGGATATATAGTGCCCTTGTCTGCTTAAAGCAGGATTATGGATGCATTGTGTATGGCTCTGCATGAGAATCTATCAGATGCTGGATCCAATCCACCATCAAGCATTACATTTGTGCACTGGTGATTTTTGTACCTCTTTGTTCAAAGCCTGTATATGGATGCTTATGAGTCCCCACATTTCATTAAACTGAAGTTCCAGTATAAGTAAGTTTCACAAAACCTTTTACTCTTTTTCTAGCAGTTTCTTAATCCATAAGAAATTTGGAAGTAAGAGAGCAAATGTTTTCAACCATTTTAAATGGCCATCTCCAGGTTCTATAACATTGGAACATCAGTTAACAAATATTTAAATGATATCACTGTTTACAAAAGTTGATTTTTTTCTTATGATGTCATTGTTTTTAACAAAAGTTTAAAAGACAGACATGGATAAAATTGAAAGTAACAAATAGATGTGTATAAGTCTTCAGTTGTTCCTATATTAACCATTTTATATCATAAAAGATTATTTGCAGCTCATTCATCTTGTATCCCTACTTTTGACATTAGAGTGGATAATACAAGCAGCATGATTGACCTATATATAAATAACATCTCACAATCTGAGGCTGATAGTATATCACTCAGGTCAACTCCTGTTAAAGTCAACCTTAGCTTAAAGCAGTATTCTAAAGAATCTATTCCAGACTACATATATAGACAGCTATTTGCAGGGATCCATCACAGTAATAGGAATTTAATTTCCATGTACATGGATGAATCAAAGGGTACGTTCGTAAAGCCGAACAAGTTAAACAAGAATGACGTCATCGTTATTCTTATTTAGTTAGACTTTTCGAACGATTCGTTTATAACTAAATGGATGTTTCTAAAATCGAAGATATGAATGTTGTTAGTGTAGCCTTATCCGAAATATTTTTCTTAGATTGCTTCGGGTGTACAGTTATTTCAATCATTTCACCTTTTAATTCACAATTTAAACACTCAAGTAGATTTAGAAACATCAATATCGTCGGGTGCCATTTTCTTAATGAAGTAAACTAACTCTTTCGTTCGTGAACTTCGTTAGAGTTTTGTTCGAAACGTCATCACCATGCAGCATGCACACTGGGCGAGACTACTACTATTTGAACGATTCGTTACTAACGTGTTTAACTCATTTGACTTTACGAACGTACCCTAAATCAGGGAATCATGTTGGTTTAGCATTTGCTGTGATGAAATCAGAGCAGACCGAATTTGCCTTGAGTTATTTATTTTTACTGCAATGCTGCAGGCTGTATACTTAGCCTTAAAACATGTAAAGATAAAAGGTCATTGATGCTGTGTGATTTACACTGACTCAGTTCATGCACTTTAGGCTTTGATCTTGTCTGAACCTAGTTCTTACTCAGTAGTGATTAAAATTTGTAAACTGATTTGCCATCTTTTGGAAGTAATTTCTCTCTAAATTCTTTGGGTCCTAGGTCATGTATGTATAAGAGGAAATAAAGATGATGATGCAGTTGCAAAGACCACTAGGTTTTTAATGCATTCAATGCCAGTTGAAGGTGGCAGTTTGAAGCTAGTGATTAAAAAACAACTGACAGAGATATGACAGAACATGTGGAATGAACAAGTTCACAATCAACTTTGAGATCAAACCTTGGTTAGAGAATTGGATACCAAATGAGACTTAAATCAGGAGATTTGAGATGATTCTTAGTTGTTTGGGAATTGGTCATACTCAAATGACTCATCAATATCTTATGAAGTGCAAGGATCAGTTGGTATGCTGATACTGTAACTGTATATGAGTTCTCTCAAACTCAGAGCATTCATAGAGTATGTGTTTCACACTTATGAATGCTCTGAGTTTGAGAGAATTCATATGCAGCACTTAAAAAATGCAAGTTTGTCAGCAATTTTTGGGCCAGAGGCCAAATTTTGACAAGCTACTGGACTTTCTGAAAGTCACTAATGTGTACAAAGAGATTTGATTACAGTAATACCTCGACTTACGCGAACCCAGAGTTATGCGATTTTCAAATCTCGTTGATTCGTCTTTTGTTTGAGCGCCACGCAACTCTTGATTACTCACTTCCCTACGCTATTGTTCAACTTACATGTTTGGACGTGTCGCGCGGAATCGACACATAGTACAACTTATTTTGTGTTATTTATTTCTGTGTTTGTTATATCTACGGAGACTCGAGAGACTCTATGTGGTGATTTCTTGTAACAATGAACGAATCAAAAGACGAGATAAGATTCATGAGAACATTTATTAGCATACATACATTTGACTTGGATTTTACAAACATTGAGAAATTATACCTCAACTTACGTGAATTCGACATGTGGTTATTGCTCGGTCTCACCTATTGCGTAAGTTCGGGGTATTACTGTATTTATTTACTCTTTACTTTATATACCCTATTGTTGTTTTACTTATTTGTACAGTTTCATATGCTTGTTATTATTTTCAGTTATTAATATTTTATATTATGTATATATTTAATTTTGTAATTTCACTATTTGACATGGTCTGTCACTATGAGCATGGTCTGTGTGGCTCTTGTGCCAAAAAACACCAACTAACAACAACAATTTTATATTAATTGTTATTGGTTATTACTGTTGGAACTGTAGAAGATGCCAACTTTAATTTACGCATGAAATTCTAGAAGTACCCTCCTGTCAGGTTTTTGACACCGTTGCATCTTTAGGAAAGACACGGAAACCCTTTTATTTATGTTTTCCCGAGCAATTTTGGAATTTGCTATCCTCATATATGCAAGCAGTCACATATGAGGATTAATTGGGCAGATGAAGGAGGGAAAGTTAGAGAGACAGGGAGGTCTAGAAGGAAGTACACGACAATATATTTAAACATGACTATATTTATTTGCAATTATATGTTTAATTATTTACAAAAAGGAAAATTAATTCAAAATTTCCGAAATCTCTAACAATAAAATACAGTCGACCCCCCCCCTATAATGCGGTTGATACGTTTCACTTTATAAGAATTTCACATTGTAGGAATCCTTAAATACATGACCCAATCACAGCCCAGCACATGTGCAATTTATGGACTATGGCTGTTTGAAAGGTTTTCTTCCATAAAATTAATCAGTTCTAGACTAATTTGACTCAACATTTCCAAAACACGTATAATTTTTTGGGAATAATCCATATAAACTGCTATAAACAAAAAATTGTAGGATTACTTACTGAGTGTGCACCGTTCGATGACGCCATTGCTTAAGCTTGTTTTCGTCACGGAGCAGCGCACCAAACGGCAGGCGCGTTTTCTGATAAGTTATTTTTCTGCAAAAAATTTGTTGAACTTTGGAGACATCATTAATAGAAATAATTTTTAAACAACAATTATTTATCATCAATACCAATTTTTACATCAGAATATCTCCAAATTTGTTATCAGTTGCAAACATTATACTGCTAACATACTGCATTTATGTTTTTGATTTTTTTTTTGCTGTTGCTTTTGAAATGTTTGTTAGTGAAAATCTTTGTATAAAAGAAGACCTACTGTATTATATTTTATTATATAGAATATTATATTTAAATAAGATTTATTATAAAAGTTACTACATTTATGGAAACTTTGTATCTAACAAATGCATAAAAGTTTTTAGAACATCCTGTGAATATAAATAAAATATTATATTTTGTGAATGATGTAGGGAGATGGCAACTTTAAGTATTTATATTTAGACAGTTATGTAATCTTTTTATATTTCCGCTTACACTGATGTCATTTACAACGGATTATAAGCGAGTTCGAAAGATTTGAAAAAACAGTTATTCGTACTAAGCGTTCGATTTACGATTTTGTTGCTTATTTTGTTACTTATTTAATTTTATTTTCTTGAGAAAGGTCTTTTAACAAGACCGAAAACGTTTGAAAGTTGTTGTAATAAAGCGTCGGCTGCAAGAAAAGGTGTTTTAGTAAGCGTTTTGAATATAAATAATTTGCTTATGATTGAAATCAGTGGTTTCTGTATGGTTCACTGAACCAGACAGCTGGGAAGGCCAACTCCATTGGCAATCACTGTTTCTTTTCACTCGTGTGTGTGTGTGTGTGTATACAGTAGATCCTCGAAAACTCGGCACTCGGATAACTTGGCCACATCCTGGCGGGGCAAAAAAATCTTTAGTTAATTA